TTTTCAACTGTAAATCCTCTTTTGTCTCTTCATGAAATAGCACAGTTATCCACCCAGCTCCGTTTATTAAGTGCACATTTTTCAGGGGAAAATTAAATAGGTCCTGTCCTCAAGGAGCTTCCAGGGCCTAGTGTAAAAGCAAACCCTAATTCCTCTTCACACCCAATCTCATTAGTTTTGTCTCCAAAATAATGTCTTAATGTCATTATATCTAACACCACTTTTTCTTTTTTTTTTACACATCCAAATACAGCCTTTATTTATAATACACTAGAAACACTAAAACACTTCTACTCAATCTATTGGATTACTTGATAGAATTTTATTACAATTACCTTTATGTTTTAGTAAGTAGAAGGCTTACCTATCTGGTGAGTCTTTAGAACTAACTGCCCAACAAACATTATTCTTATGAAAGTTTAAACAAGTTTCAAATATTTAAAAAAACCCCATGGTATTAGGCATTTTTAACAGCTATTCCCTATAAATAATTAATTCTTAACCCAATACTATGTTTCACTAATCCTATACACAGCAACTGTTTTACTTTCTAAAAAAGCTATTTGATTGTTAGTACTTGACTTTGTAAAGAGCTTTGTAACACTGTGGCAACAGTTAATGCCCAAGTTACTAACATTTGGTCCTGTTCATTGTTAGATTTGGGCTTCATATGCATTAGTCAGTCCTCACAACTTTATTACCATATAATAAATATGGCTGCCCCGGTGAAACTTTATAGTTGTTCTAGAGTAGGGAAGAATTGAAAATGGCTGATTAGAAAAGACTTCTGTAACATATGACCTTGGCAAGCTTAATGCCTAACTGGCCCTACCTATTGTTAACTGTCTTCATTTCACAGAAAAGGGGGGAGGTGTGCCAAAAATTTAGAACAATTTCTTCCCCACAATTCTTAACATTTCTATTATTTTTGTCACCAAATTTACTTTACATAAATCCGTATTTCTGACATTAAGTATTCACTTCTACTCATTTGTTAAAGCCTTTGAAACTTAAGCAGAAATCTTCCCCTGTATTAATCTATACTGTAAGTTTCCACGTCTTAGATTATTTTTGTTGATATTATAATAAATACCAAACCTTTTAAAAAATTAGATCATTTTGCTGTGATTTCATTGACTGAGTTTCACGTTCCTTACATAGAAACCTACCACAAAATAGAGATTAAGTGGTCAATTTAGTAAATACTACCCCACACAATTGGAAGCAGGAGTGGCATCATGCCTCTAAAAACTCTATGAACTTTGATAAATGTCAGTAGTGTACCAGTGCAGCATATTACACCCTCATACAAGCTCTAATAGTGCAGATCATAACATGCACAGGCAGGTCAGCAAGACAGAGCAGGTCACCCCAGCTTCTTACCTGCGCTTAGAACTAAGGCCACTGCACCTCTGCAGACGCTTTGTTAATTAACTCTTTCGGAACCCAAGGTCTGCCCAGACCTACTCTTGCTGTCCGCATGAACCAGGTCCCCAAATCTGCCACAAAATAGGCACGGATGCTCCCGTCCTACAGACAGAAAGACAGTCCTAACACCACTTTTTCAATTGCTTCTTCTGCATCTGAAATTTGGACAATAAAGGAAGACCAAAGCCTTTGAATTGGTGTTGGAAGAGTACTAAATGTCCAGTGGGCCGTCAAAACAAATCTGTCTCAGAGGAAGAAAAGACAGGGTGCTGTTTAGAGGTGAGGATGGCAGTGGCTAACTTGGGTCTCACACATTTTGGGCATGGAAGGGTCTAGTCCCTGGGAAAAAGTCATCACGCTAGGAAAGGCAAGAGTCAATGTGATGATGACCCTTAAGGAAATAAGGTTTAAAACGGTGGCTCCAACAATGGGCTTGAACCTGGCAGAAATCATGAGGTTGTTGCAGGACAGGATAAGGATAGGTGGTAATCAACGCTTGCCCAAACCTGGACCAACATCTTACCTGTTCTTTCTTTCAAGCCCTCCAGAAAAATCACAGAAAATAGATCACAAGTCGAAATGGTCCCTTCCATTGTACTGTGAATTGCTCCCTGCCCAAGGCCCTGCAGAGGTAGCCACCGACAGACTGCACACCTGCCCGATCTTACCGCCTGATTTGCTCACACTCTTCACTTTCTAGTAATGTTTAATTTTGTCCCTTTTCTTCTAAAAACCCCAAACTTCTAGAAGTCACATCTTTTTTTCATTTTGCAGTCACCAAAGACAAAAATGGAGCGAGCTCTGGCTGTAGACTTGTGCTGACACTACACAGCGCAGCTCTCGGGGTGACTCCAGCGACGTGGGAGGATGGGAAGTCTTGTGCTGCAACCAATTTGACAGCAGTGAAGACAACAATGGCTCATATTTGCATTGACTGCTAGAGTTTGTAACCTTTCATTCTCTTCACAACTTTGAGAAGATTAAAAAGTCACACATCTAATCAGGATGGAGCTTTCCAAAGATGTACAGAGTAGGTTCCTTCTGGGTTATACTAATCCACAGCTCAACCCAGATCAATTTCCTACCCTGCGGCATACCTCTTCAGGTATAGAATAATGTTTAAATAATATCTTCAGTTAAAAGAAACCCCAGTATCTGGGAAGATGACTGTTTAATATACAATCTTGAGTGTCCCCAATCTACATTTGAAAGCTGACAACTTCCAACGATTACTGATTCTTACAGAATAATCTTCCGCAAGAGCAGAGATGTCTGCCTTTTCCTAACTCAGTTCCTCCTAGGAACTAAACATGAGACCTACCATCAGCCATAGAAGGCCTATCCCCTGAGGCCCCTGCAAATGACGATGAAACAAGGAATTGACTGCATTAAGTGGCTTTATTAAGGGAAGGCAGGGTTACAAAGGACTTAAGAGTTGGCATTGGGTCCCTTCTTCTTGCCAAAAGTAGGCACAACATTGACAAAACGTCTGTTGTACTGCATGCGCCGCTTAGCTCGGCCAGTCTTCTTCTTCTTCTTCTCCTGTTTGGCCACCTTAAAAAAAAAACAAAATCAAAATAAGAAAGTTGATTAGATCTAAGCTGTTATCTGTGGCAGGCACTACCTCCTCATTCTCATCTTCAGGGAGAAAAAAAAAAGGCAAAAATAAAGGACCTTGGTTTAGCTGTGACATAAACAAGGATCAAGGGACACCACTTACTCACCTTGGGAGTCTGACCTCTCACTTTGCCAGCACGAGCCAAGGAACCATGGACTTTACCTGTTATGGAAATCAAAGGCAGACATTAGATGACCGAGAACCCACCACCCTCAACTCAAGCCCTTCCAACAGGAAGGGGAAAGTCTGTGTGGAGGTCTGCCCTATGACAACACGATGGTGGTGCACACTCTAGGATTTCACTTAGGGATTTTTGATCTACCAGCTGCCCCACAGTAGAAAGAGGGCTTCCTCCCATAGTAAGACCTGGTGGAGCACTGTTTTAAGTTGGCATCAACAAGGTGGCGGATGGTTTTAAGCAGTAACTGGAGTGGTTCGAATCCTCCGGATGCGCAGTGGGAGGAGGAGGGATAATCTCCTCCTGTACCAGTCAGATCTCATTTGATGAAACACAAAAACCAAGAGCTGGAAAATGTCCCATCTCTCTGCCCTGTTGATTTTGGCAAGAAAATGGGAACCAAAAAGTTCCTGACAAGTACATGCCTTAAAACTACACTCTGGTTCTCTCTCCTTTTCCGACCGCGTGCTGCAAGGTCTGGATTCACCCCTGTTTTTCCAGGTTTCTCTCCCCTTTCCTCTCCCTTGTTTTTCACTTTACTTGCACAGCGCACCTTTCACTAGATATGCTTCTGCCTTAATTGCCTTGATAATCTTTCTCACTTGTAACCCAAAAAAACACTACTCTGGCGTTAGCTTCCCACGAACCCTTAGGAATTCCACCTGGGAGAAGCAAACAGGAAGAACCACCCCAAATGACATCTTTTTTTTTTTTTTTAATTATTTTTGTGTGGGTGTACCGTCAAATCAGATCTGACTGGTACAGGAGGAGACTGCCCCTCCTTCCCCGGCAGAGCATCTGGTGGATTTGAACCGTGCACCTCTGGGACCCAAATGACATCTTAAAGCAAGGTATGATCCCCAAAAATACATTAAGCTACGCTCCACACCCACTGAGAGCTGTTAAGGTAGGTAGTAGGCTACTTCTCTCCCCAGCTCACCTCCAAGCGTACGGCCAACTACTTCCAGAGTGGACAGGGGCTTCACCCCACACTCGGCCAGGATAGCCTCATCTTCCAGGGGAGTGCCTCCCAGGAGTACAACCTGATCTTCAGGGGCGATGCCCTCCAACGACGCTACACGAGCCTGCGGAGATGAACAGGCTGGTGAGTTCCACCCCGTGAGAGATGGGAGTCGGGGGCGCAACCGTACAGAGATCAAAGGACCAAGCTCTTACCTTGATCTGCGCGACCGTCTCCTGGCCGGTCACCTCGAGGGTGTGCACCTCGCGGGCGCGAACAAAAAACTGCATGGCGGCAGCTAAATAATAACAATAATAAAAAAAAAGCCGTGTAAAGAAGAGATGAGAGAAAACTCTGCAGACGAGGGCGGGCCCGGAAATGAGCGGCGGGTCGCGGAGGATCGCGCCGGGACGGAGGGAAGCGGGGCTTTCACGTGGGGAAGGCTGCGGGAGGTGAGACTCGGAGGCAGCTCCACCGTCCGGCTCGTGTTCCTGGGCTTCCCCCGAGCGCGCCGAGCCGCAGCTAACCTGCCACTGAGGCCTCTGGATCTAGCTCTGGCCCAAGTGTTACCTGTAACGCAAGCCAAGCTTCCGATTCCGCGAAGATGGAGCCGAGAAAGAGGAAGAGCCGAGAGGGCGCACGTTGTCACCGTCTCCTTCGTGCAACGTCACCGACGAGCGACAGCGGAGTCCCAACCTATTTCTAAGGCCACGTGAGCCAACCCCGCCCCCTTACGATTTCCGGCTGCGCGCGCAGGAAGGCGCGGGGCCAAGTGGCTGGTGTGCGCGGAAGCCTGGTGCTGGTGACGGGCTGGGATGGCTGCCCCTCTGATCATGTTTGCCTTGCGAAGGTGGAGAGCCGGCGTCCAGCCGGGCCGCGGACTACGGCCCGTGGTGAGAGGCCCAGCCTGGGTGGGAGGCTCACTGTTACTCATTATAACCCTGAGTTATAATCCCGCCTCACGGTCGTCATCAAGTGCCCGGCTGGGGGCACTTGGCTGGAGCACAGGTTTACCCAGGGCAGAGGACGGCAGAGGGGGGCTTGACTTCCATCCAGAGCGTGGAGCCGGAAACCACACTTACGGGCATTCCAGATTAACCAGAATTGCCTAATTTTCAGCGAGGAAACCGTTCCACTGGGTGGGAACTGACTCTAGGTCAGTGTTGACATTTCTGGGAACCCAGAGCTCTTGGCACGCAGGCTCGGACTTCTCTGCTGTCGCTGTGATGATCCTTTGCCCTTTCGCGATTCCGAGTCGCTTATTGGGTGTAGTGTCCAGCAGGGTCTTTGGGCTCAAAAAAATGGGGAACACAGGCTCTGCAGTGTAGCCCTGACACCCACATCAAACCCATTGCCGCGGAGTCGATTCTCATTGAAAGCGACTCTCCTAAGACAACGTCACTGCCCCGCACGGTTCCCACAGCTGTCATCTTTATGGAAACGGGCTGTCGCATCCTTTTTCCCTCCGAGCTGTTGGTGAGTTCAGCCCACTCACCTTTGCTTTAGCAGCCGTGTCCTTACTCCCTCTGCAACGAGAGATCCTTAGCGTGTGGGACCTTCTCAGACTGAGAAACAAACCCTTTGTGGGGGAGTCATTTTAACGCGCAATGACCCTGGAGAAGAGAGCCAGGCAGTGGGGTCCCCAAGGCTGTGCATCGTCCTGGAAGCGAACTGCGCACCTTGCCTCTGCGGGGAAGGAGCGCATGGTCCCCAGAGGAGTGCTTGACCCCTGTGCCACCAGTGTGCCTAGGGAGTGGTAGGTCTTTAGTACCTTAATCTCTCTTGTCTGTAAAAAGGGGAGAAACTTGGTATAAACTTTTCTTAGAGTTTGTGTTCTGTAAATTAAGTGAAAACTGTGCCCTTATTATCAGAACTGCTGTAAATGCCTGGAACCAGATGCTTCACCAGAATGTTGAGAGAAAAACGGGGAAATGCTGAAAAGTGTCATCTAACCAAAGGACTTACAGCTAATTGGCTTTTCCTCTCCTCTGTGAGGCAGGCCCCAGGGTGTCTTCACCTTTGCTCTGTCCCAGCCTGTACTGTGTGCTCTGGTGGACGTCTGTGCTTTCCTCCCTCCATCCTTTTGTTTATGCCTGCAGTAGTTATCTCCTGTTCCCAGTGGCATTGTCTGTGTCGTGTGGTAGGGGATAGCAGATGGGTGAGTCCTGTTGTTATGTGCCGTCCAGTCGCCTGCGACTCATAGCGACCCTATGTACAACAGCCCTAAACTCCGCTCTGTCCTGTGCCAATCGCACCGTCTCTGACACTCCCATCCCAATTATCCCCGTCACTGAACCAATCCACCTTATGGAGGGCCTTCCTCTCCTGTGCTGTCCTTCCACCCTCCCGAGCATGATGT